AAAACACAACACACACACACACACACACACGCACCGCAAGTATTGAAGTCAGATGATGACTTATATGCGTCGAGGATGTCTATCAGCACTCATAGGCTCGCGTCCTCGGTACCTTCGGAGCAGTGGGTTTACACAAGACACGCGTTCCTGACCTGGCCCGCTGCCTTTGCCCAAGTACCGTCCATCTGCCTCCCGTCGTTCTTTCCATGAACATTCGTTACGTTAGGTACTTCAGGTAGAAAGTGTCGAGGCGGGCAAGCGTGGGGTAAAAGGCTGGAGGGGAAAAGAAGGAAGGAAGGAAACACGGAGGAGGGATGGAACTAAACCAAACAAAGCTAGAAGGAACGGACGGGGCACGCCTCTCTGCCACCTCACACAAAATGCAAATGCGATCCATGAAAGTGGGAAAGAGGCACCAGCTTCAATCAGTCAATCAGAGAAGGTGCAGGTGGGACAATCAAAAGGGTCTAAACATTGGACGAAAAAGACGTTGCCCGCCAACGCACACCCAAACACACCCCCGTCCCAGTCACCCAGTCTTAACTTACTGTCTAGCACCTGGCTGCTTGGATGAAGCCATCCCCATTGTCGTTTTCGCCGCCACTCTTATTACTGTACACAGTCATGAGTACGCTATTGCCAAGTATCACTCGTTGCCATTGTTTTTGTTTCTTCTCATTGCCACGCGAACCACATCCAATAAAAGCAACAGGCCGGTGCCTACCTACGAGTCTAGGACCACCTAGCCATCTAGTCCGATATCCTCAGCTCCGGCGGATACTGCCAGGAATACCAATAAAAGTCCCTAGATCCAGCTGGAGCTCAAGATTCAAACCAGGACCGGGATCGCCAGACCAACAAAGATAGCCAACCACGGCCACTGCACGCCATTGCTTCTGATTGACTTTAGCATCGTCATCTCCCCCTGCTTCAGCTCCAACTAGTCACTCGCTACGTCGAGGTTTCCAACACCTCGGGAGAAGCTTCTTCTGGCCGGGCAACGTTGGCAACCCTCGCTCCTGAGGGCTGCGATGTTTCCTACACAGGCACAGGTTCGCGACACTGCGCATGCGCACACGCACACGCACGCACAACAAGACCAGACCCGATTGATTCAATGTTCGCTCGCCCTATTGCCTGTTCCACGACACGAGCCGCCGCCCTCGTGCGTCGTTGCTCGGCGTACCACGTCGGACACAGCTGTCACTTGAAGAATACGTACTGCGCAATCATTCGCCCGCGATATCAAGCATGCATCGAGCATTGCCCTGCAGCAGTGCAGAGAACACCGCCGCCCGCCGCCGGACACTTGCCGCCGACTTTTGCTTCTTGCCCACCGAGAGACCTTTGTTGCGGCATATCTGTCCCATCAGCGACGGTCAACCCAAGAAGAGAAGCGGTCTGCAACATGAGTCCCGTTACAGCGACTGACCATGCCATGCCGTCCACCTCATCAGCGTCTCTCGTGTCGCCCCAACAAAAGTCGGACAAATCACTACGCACACCGACGGGCCAGTCAACGCAGCGACAGCGACAGCGACAGCGGCAGCGGCACAAGCAAGCACCGGGGAGGGGCAAGCAGAGTGAAAGCAACAAAACAACTCGGGAGAAAAAAGAAGTCACCTCTGCTTCCGGCCGCCTTGATGAGTTGGCATGCATAGCCTTTGGTCCTGTTGTTTTACATGCTCCAGTACACCAACAGAGAGAGGCCCATTCCCGACTACCTCACGGCTTGCCCGCCGCTCGAGACACTGCCGTACAGCGCAGCGCCCCCCTGCTCACCCGCCGTCCAATCTGCATCGTCCACGAGAGCGGGCACGCCATGCCAACGCATCACAGGGCCCCAATCGGCCACCCCTTGACCAACCCAGCGAGCTTCAACCAGCATCAACCCACACCGTCTGCTACACCACATCCTTCTCCAATCTCCATCAACAATTCCCGTTCCAGGGGGCCAATCGTCGACTACCAGACTGAGTCCTTCCTGCCACTCTCCTGCAGCAGCTTTTGAGGTACCGCCAGCCCCAGCCGTTGTCCTCAAACCTGTCCAGACAAGGTCGGCAGGCCGTCCCCCGAATGCCACCCGAATTCCACACCGCAAAACGGTCAGCTCATCTACCCGCGCGCCGGATGGGTTGCATTCTAGCTCTCTAACCACATCATTCGCTGCACTCGCTGCATCGTGTACGACTTGCTCGTACCCATTCAGCGCCGCACGAAAACCTTCACGATCTTGTGTTCGTCCACTACCAGCAAGTAGCCGCTTTCATTTTCACCGTACGAGGTGTCAACTACCACTGCTGGTCTATTCGGTGTTGGTTTTACAAAAAGTACATCCTGCAGTCCTTCGAGGCTGTCGCGCTGGAATCTACATCGCCTTGCCCAAACCAAGTTCGCCAGCTTCGCATACGAGGTGCACCTCGACAACAAGTCGGGGGCACTCATTCCAAAAATCAGGCACTTTGTGCCATCCACGGTGACCAGAGCGGGATTTTGGGCCTCTAAATTGGCCTCTACCGCGTAGCTGGGTAGATCCAGCCACTCTGCGCCGCCAGGCTGGTATCACGTTGATCCCGTACCACTGCCGCCTGCCAACCCCTCGATGCCACCATCGATGATACCAAAATACCTCTCCATCCCGGTTCTGGCCGCCCACAGATCGCTCATCCCCATGCACGTCAGATTCGCCAGTCAACCAGTCTTATTCGTCTCAACCTCAGGCCCCCATTCGCTCCGCTGACCCTATGTCCATCTTGCATCCCGCCTCCCGCCCGCCTATTGAGCACCAGCCGTCATCGGTCTCTGCGACTCAGGCGCTGCATCTCTGCTGCCTTTCCGGCTTGTATTTCGTCCTCCTGGTGAGGCCAGGCGGTCTTCTTCTGTGATAAGCTGTGCGTATCATGCCTTTGAACTGGGCCTAGCAGAGATGGAGGACAATAAACGGTGAGTACTTGACCCGAAAAGATCCGGCTGGACGGATAATACAACGTAGTTCTTGTGTGGGAGCAACCAGATATTTGCCCAGGCCAGGTTGTATCAACACGTGGTAGATATCACGCTCGGAAAGCTATTCAACCAGCGCGCCGGTGACAACAAACATGTTGGACCCATCAGCCAACGCTCAACCTTCGGTCCTTGGAGGCAATCCTGCCGGATTCCCATTAATGCCGTCTGCTAATGGGTCACTGGGATTAGGGCTGCATATGCCATCGTGGCTTAATCTGCGCTCCCGACACTAGTGCGCAGGCATGAGCCCAGTTGACGGCCCCGTTGTCAGCATGCTGTGTGACTGTTTGTTGTCATTTCCGTATAAGGCGTCTGGCCGCTTGGCCGCCTTGTGGCCACTTCCGGTGTTATTTGGGCTCTTCTAAGCTATGGCTGTAGTACCCAGCTGAAGCCTGACAGCTCCTTTCACCCCTTGGTGGCCATCCTTCTTCTCCCTTGGCGTGATATTGCCAAGTCGCTGGTTTATGAGAGAGATCCGCGTGTATCTCTTTAGACGTCTGACTGCTTCTTGCGCATAAAATGATGTTGAAGCTCACTATCTTTCGCTTAACATGGAAAGGTGTCGTTCATTGTGTCCCGTCATTCTTCTCGTACATTCGGACGCGTGAACATTAGAATATAGACACGATGTATGTATGTAGGTATGAGAATACGAAGTTGAGGGCAAGACCCTTTATGTAACAAGCTTCCTCGGTACACAAGCTGGCTGTAATAGCACTCCTTCTTGTGAGTATCTCCAGCGTGTTCTTTCTTGTGACCTCATATGTCTATTTAGCAAGCTAGAGGGTGTTTCTAGACCAGAAGACCAGCCAGTCGCGTCTACTTGACTAAGCGAGAAGTGCGTATGGATCAAATAGGAGGCTTCATTTGCGGCCTCCCCATTGCTTCTGGCGGTGAATACATCCCGGTGAGCCTTTGGGCGCTGCGGGATTTGAAAGTTCCTAATGTGTTCATGTTCTAGAGGTACTGACATCCAGGAAGACTGCGTGTGTTCATAGCTGCTGCCATTTCAGTGTAGAAACTTAGCATTTTTCGATGATTTTGAGTATACAAGTTGATTTAGTATACACTCTTCCTAGTTGCGCCAGAATATCAGGCTCGTATCGTTCAGAAAAGTCTAGAAATATCTCTTCGTAGCGAGCACGATAATTCTAGACATTTCCCCAGACGAAAGTAAACTTTTAACCGGACTCGGCGGTCTAGGTTCACAGTCTTTTTTTGCGGTATTCAAAAAGATTACTGGTGGACGAAAAATATCTTTTGATGGCGTATCCTTTATCAGTCTCGTATAAAAGGTGGCTAGAAACAAAATTATTGAACTATTTTGTTTTACCCTTTTTATTTCACTAAATGGTGCAGCACTCCCCAAGCACTGACGAGAGGCAGAGAGAGAAAAGGACTCGAGCCTCCTAGAAGATAGTCGCTTGATGAATAAGACTACGTTACGTTAGGACAAGAGTAATATGAGGGGGGCCTTTGGCAGCACGCTGGGGCTATCGACCGAACGCCGGAGCCGAGACCGGCTGCGGGGCCGCGTCTGAGCATCAACCGCCGGCCCGGAGTTCCGTGCAATGTCACGTCCTCATACCGTCAAAGTCAGTCCGTCTCTCCCATAAAATTCATGAATAGAGCAGCAATTGTGAAACGTGGTAAAGCTTCACAAATACCTTAGTATGCAAACGCATCGCTTCAGAGTGGGAATTGAGTGCTTTTGCGCAAGTTGTAACGAAACACATCAGCGCCCATTAGTGGAACCCGCCGGCCGGTCATGGATGGGTGCTGAGAGGCCGTAGAGGTGCGCAAAACATGAACCCTTCTCTTTCCCCGCGCCGGATGCCGGTCGCTCGGCCGGGATCTATTCCTCCGAGGCGCCCTTCCGAGTACATCAGCAACCCCAAGTCTCTCGAAAACCCATTCTTGGAAAGCCAAGCTGATTCGGACTTTTTGTGAGATAGTTCACCATCAGCCAGGTTTTCGTTTCCCAAAAACCACACTTACGCAAACAAACACAAATGACCTGCACCACATCCCCCAAAGGCGCGATGCTCTCGCCCCGCGCCGCCAAAACCGCCTCGGCCCTCCATCGGCCGTGGCGCTTCGCCCCCGTCCAGACCTACTCGGCCTCCACCAATCCCTCGGGCCTCATCTCCTTTGGCAGCGCAAGCAACGCCCTTATGCAGCCCGCCGTCGCCGCCTTCGCCGCCACGGTCCCGCTCCCACCCGACGTCTTCGGGTACAGCTACAGCACCGCCGGCGGCGCCCGTCTCCGCGCCGCGATGGCGGGGCATTTGAATGCCACGTTCAGTCCCCATACGCCGCTGGACATGGAGCATGTGAGGGTCGCGGCGGGGGCGACGGCCGTGCAGTGTATTCTCGCGTTTGCGCTTGCGTCGCCTGGTGAGGGTGTGTTGGTGCCGAGGCCGGTGTATGGGCGGTTCGAGCTTGATTTCGGGAACGAGATGGGGGTGGAGGTCGTGTATGCCGATACCACGCCCGAGACGTGTTTCATGCCGGACGTGGTGATTGAGGAGATGGAGGCTGCGGTGCGCAGAGAGATGGGGAAGGGGGTAAGGGTTAGGGCGGTGATGATTGTGAATCCGAGTAATCCGCTGGGACGGTGTTACCCCCGCGAGACGCTTGTGGCGATTATGCGGTTTTGTGGGAGGCACAAGATTCATCTTGTCAGTGATGAGGTGTATGGGCTTTCCGTGTTTAGGTCTTGTGAGGAGATGCCCGAGTTCACGTCGGTGCTGTCTATCGACCCGGCGGGCATCATCGATCCGGACTTGGTGCACGTGGAGTACGGCCTGGCCAAGGACTTTGCGTCGTCGGGACTGCGGCTGGGCGCGCTGGTGTCGAGAAACGCGGCGCTGCACGAGGCGTTTTCGAGCGTGGTGAGGTTTCATAGTCCTGCCGGGCCGTCCGTCGCGATCGCGGCTGCCATGTTTGAGGATCGGGTGTGGCATGATGAGTTTATTGCTAGTTCGAGGCGAGCCATCGCGGGCGCGTATGGATTTGTGACGGGGAGGTTGAGGGAGATGGGGGTTGGGTATGTGGAGGCGAATGCTGGGTTGTTTGTGTATATTGATCTCTCGCCGTGGTTGCCGCCGCCGTGGGAGGAGGGGGAATATGAGTCAGATCGGGACAGAGAGTTTGCTTTGGCGGAGAGGTTTGTTGAGAGGGGTGTGTTTTTACATCCGGGGGAAGAGCATTGTCTTGCGCCGGGGTGGTTTCGGTTGGTTTATACGCAGGAGGAGGATATCGTGGCCGAAGGGTTGAAAAGGTGAGTCTACGGGGAGACGTACTTGAGAACTTGGCTAACATGACTACAGAATCGACGATACTTTGAAGAACCTGCCTTGGCAACTGTCACACTAGGCATCCAGACAACAGACAGAACATCACGCATTACGGAGACGATCAACACACAATCAGGGAGAAACGAATCTATGTCCATGTAAATGAGGGAGAAAAAAATGTACAGACGCCCCCAGAGGAGGGATTAAGAAATTAAGTTTAATTCATGTACACGCTTGAGGGCCATGACTCTTTGATATCATCGACCGTATGCTTCCGTCACATCTTCAGGTTCTCCTAGACACTTCCACCTCTACTCTCTTAAAAGTGGTAGCGGCGGTTAAAGGTGCGGGGACCGCGGGGGCCACGAGGGCCACCACGGGGACCACCACGACCGGGGCCGCGGGGACGGCTGCCACCGCCGGCGGAGGTCTGGTTGAAGGTCTCCCACTCGTAGGAGGCGAACATCCAGGGGCCGACGCCCTTGTAGTCGTTCATGGCAATGGGGACGGAGGTGTAGTACTCGAAGCTGGCGTTGCTCTTGAGGGAGCCGACCTCAACGGTGCCGTTCCAGTTGACGGTGCCGTTGGCGTTTTCGACGACAAAGGTGGTGAGCTCCTGGTAGCCCTTGGCGGCGGCGGGGAAGAAGCGGCGCTCGGGAAGGAGGCCGAGGCGGATACCCTTGAGCCAGGAGAAGACGAAGAGGGCGGAGGCGGAGGACTCGATGTAGTTCTTGGGGCGGCCGACGTAGGGGCTGTCCATGATGAGCCACCAGCCACCGGTGGTGCTGTCCTGGGCGTTCTTCAGGCCCTCGGCGAGGGTGACAAAGAAGCGGGAGAGGGTGGTGACGCCGGGGTGGCCGCGGGGGAGGAGCTCAAGGACCTCGAGGAGAGCGACGGCGTACCAGCCGACGGCACGGGACCAGGTGAGCGGAGAGGCGCCGGTGATCTGGTTGGCCCAGACGGCCTCCATCTTCTCGTCGAAGCCGTGGTACAGGAGACCGGTGGTGTAGTTGCGGGTGTGCTTGTCAATGACCTCGAACTGGTTGACAATATCGTTCCAGGCGGTGGTGTTGTCCTTGTCGAAGAGGGAGGTCCACTTTGCGTAGAAGGTATCGGCCATGAAGATGCCGTCGAGCCACATCTGGTAGTCGTAGTCGGGGCTGCGGTGGAAGAAGCCGCCCTCGTCGGTACGGGGGTGGCGCTCGACAAGCTGGTCGCGGATGGTTCTGGCGGCGGTCTTGTACTTCTCCTCACCGGTGCGCTCGTACCACCAGAGGATGTTGTTGCCGATACGGTACTCGTCCAGGGAGTAGGTGGTGGGCTTCCAGTTCAGGATGCTGCCGTTGGACTGGACGACGAGGTCATCGATACGGCTGCGGTACCAGTCGACGAGGGCGTCATCCTTGGTGAGCTCGATGGCGGCCTCGAAGCCGTCGTAGAGGACGGCCTTGGTGTAGTGGTACGGCTTCTTGTTGTCGATCTCGTGCTTGGTGAACGAGTCGGCGGTCCAGGCGAGGTAAGGACCGGCGGCCGCCGCGGCGGTCGCGAAGAAGAGGACGGACTTCATTATGGACTTTGGTATGAGGGGTTTTGCTTTGCTTTGGGAGGTTCAAAAGAGTGACTATGTCGAGATTCGGAAATCACGACAGGAGGAGTGAGAAGCAAGCGGATGAAGGAGCCAGATCTGAGTCGCCAAGCTTCCTCAAAAGACGGCTAAGGCTGGGGGGAAGGGAGCTCTTTTTAATCCAAGATCGGATACAAGCCGGTTCGTCTGCGCCTCCATGTTTGCTGGAGAGCACTCGACGGGGGGGGGGGGGGAGTTGCAACGGTGCAACGAAGGATCCATCGACGGGGTTCTGGGATGAGTTGGAGTGATCAGGGACGACAGTGGGGGGGTTGCGCTTATTGATCATCACCAGAATGATCAGATGGGGATAGCCAAGCAGAGCATGGCGACTGCGAGGACGAGGGGTTTGCAGATTGGAGCAATGAACAGCACTGGGCTTGAGGCCGGGAGATCAGGGAATCAGGGGTTGGAAGAAAGGCAGAGGATTGCCAAGTGGAAGCCAAGGGCAGAGCAGAAAATATCCAGGAACTAGAGATCCATCATGGTCATCTTGTTTCTCATCCCGCACCGCCCGCACCATGTCGGACAAGTCCACCGTTGTCGAAGAGGAATATGATGTGCTTCTATGCCCTGCCCAGTACTCTGCAAAGACAGATACGCCAGCGGCTATCTCGAGGTCGTCGCCAGCACAGTGGGAGCTTGTTTACGAGCCAAGTATCGTCGCATCCCACCCCCTCTACGGTTCATCTCCGCCTGCTTGGCCCGTTCTGGCGAAGAAGTGGATGGGATGTTGGACGGAGGATGGAGAAATAAGGTCCGGATCCAGTGAGTGATGAGAACGACGGTTGAGGCTCCCCACGTACGCGTCTTGGCAACGTCTTGGCACGTCTTGAGAAGATTGAAAGACGGCGGGCCTGCTTCGCTTCTCAAGTGCTACGCCGCTCCGTTGCTAGTCGTGCTAGTACATAGTACCTGAGTATCCGTAGAGACTAGCTAGTATTCGTAAGAGCAGACCCGTCCGCAGTCCTAAGCGGCCCCGGGAGTTGCAGGGCGTTCACCTTCTCTATCAGTTTAAACTTATGGGTCCGTCGCCGCGGATAAAGGCCAACAAGTATTGACTTTCTTGGGCATTTGGACAATTGAGATGACGTTTGATCTTTTCTGCTAGGGCCAAGCCCGGGCGGGATATGCTCGACACTGGATGACCGTTGGAGTTGGCATGGTCGAAAGGGAATTTGAGGAGCTCAAGACCACAATTGGCACAATTTTTGCGCGTGATGTGGGCACCGTCGGGGGCCCTGGACGTTGCGTTGCCAAGCTGCGTATTCGCTGCACCCCTTCATCTCAGAGCTCGCTCAACGGGATGGCCCCACGTCGGGTGTGACTCTTCAGCCCGCGCTCATTATCGATGTAAGACTGTAGGTAGGTTCGGGATGAGTGTTGGTCTTGCATGTTCTTGGCTTGTTTGGTTGGCCTCCTGGGCTGATGATTGATGGATCATAGAGCGCCCAGCCGGACAAATTCCCAATATGAAAACATTCGAAGAGAGATATTCGGCGACGCGGTGTGGATTGTGGACTCTGGCTGAAATGCGCTGCATGGGCATGAGTGAGCCTATTAAACAGTCCAACGGTCAAACAGTTCAAGAGATCAGCTTTTCTCGGCCGGCTGCAAAGATGCCTGGTATTTGATAACGATTGCGCAATATTTCATGGTCGGCCAAGTTCTGTTGATTCTTTTTGAGAGCTTCCGCCGAATGGTCCTGTGGGTGGTCAAACAATCACTTGATCTCGCCGTACTATGATAAACTCCCTGAGTGTCTTTTCGCGCTGTTGACGCCGGCACGATGTTTAATCGATGAAATTGGCCATGGTATTTTAGCTTCATTGCCAAGACAGTCGCATCGAGGTGTTGAAGTAACCCTGCTGGGGACAGATGTCAGCAGCGATAAATCTGCGACACTTCCGAGCCAAACGTCGGCGCGATGAACCGGATCTCCAGTCCAGGGCAGAAAAATAAAAAACAAAGAGCATGAAAGAAAATCAGCCACCCGTTAAGCAAACGTGGCTCCCGTGCCGAATGCGACTTTGGCCGGTTGATTCCGAGAGAGCAGACCAAACACATTCTGGTCCATGGTGGCTCCAGTCTTCGGGAGGCGAGGTATGTCATTCAGGGGCACAGGGGCAGCAGGCTCGGTGTATATCCGTACGGATACTGTGTGGTGAGCGTTCTGCGTGGCACGGTGGCAGGTATGTAATTCGCTTTCGTTCTGAGTGAACTCACTGCCCAGTGTCAATCTGTATAATCAGACAGAGTGAGGCGTAGTGGCGAAACCTGCGAGTCGCCATCTCCGCCAAGGGACTGAGTGGGTGGGTTGGTGGTCTTTGCTTTTCCGTTCCCTCTCCTGTGAGTCTGATCGGCAGATAAGACGTTCTTGTCTTGAGTCGAGTGTTGGTCACGCTGTCTGTGGGTGAAAGTGAGACTGATTCAGACGATTGAAGATGTTCGTTAGTGCGCCAGCCGACTGCCTACCCGTCAAAGTCAAGACGACGATGGATTAAGCTCATATGGCGTCAAATAGCCGCCCCCGAGAGTCTGTTTTAACCTGAGATGAGCAAGCCGACGGGCTGTTCAAGGATCGCTCGATTGCTGAATTGCCTTGATTATGCAAAAAGGGCAAAAACGACTGCTTTTGCCGACGATAGAGTTTGAACCCAATTTACCTAGGAAGCATGAGCCACATGGTGCAAGCCACCTGTTCTTTTGGCTTGACCACCTTATCGCCTTGCCCACAGGCGTGTGTGGCTGGTGACCGAGGTGGGGACCCGAAGACCGCCCGACTCCCAAGTCATCAATGGAAGGTGCGCTGCAGGTTGGAGTTGCTCCGTGCTCCTGGCGGGAGGGCAGGTGGGTGATGGCCCAAGCTTCTTCCATGTCAATCTTGAATGTCACTGTGGTCGCCCTTGCCAATTGGACGCAGCTTCCATTGCCAGACTGGAGGCACCAAACTTAATGATGCCTTACAGCAGCTTTCCGGCGAACAAGCTCCCTAAAAAGGGCAAACTAGGACAGTCACAAGCCAATCAGCAAGAACAACCCAACGCAGTTTGCGCCGTTAGTCGCACCTTCCAGCAGTTGTGCGACGTCCTCATACTGCACGTCACCTTCCAGAACTCGACTACCATTAGGCAGGAACGACCCAGAATTATCGGCATACGGGTACCGACAGGCAACGATCGGATTTGGCAAGGCTGAAGCAGCAACAGCTCCTTCCTGCCCAGCATCTGCAACTAGGTACCTATCTCGTGTATACTGAGGTGGTACTGAATTACTTTGAGTTGTGCGAATCTTTCAATCTCGGCCAATTCTTTCCTGCTTCTGACACTTCCGAAAAGCATCAGCAACTCACCTGCGAGTTCCCCGCTTCTGCCTGGATCGTGAAGCTTCGCCCCACCCACTCTGATTCATTGGACTTCCATACTAACCATTACGTCCATCGACCCAACAGACAGACATTGGTATTTCTCGCGTCTTTAATCTTGTTCTGTTTATTCTCTAGAAAATTGTGGTTATTCTCTAGAAAAGAGACTACTCAGCTCATCTGAATTACGGTTTCATCTCAAATTCGAATCTCTCTACCTTGGATGAAGCAGTGCATCAATACCTTGGCACACTGCCGTCGCCCTCCCACAATGTCACAGCCCACGCCATCGGCATCAGAGCCTTCAATATCAGTCATGGATGCGCCGGCAAACCCTCAGTCCAAATCGCCCTTCAACAAAGTGCCTCTCGAGGTTCTCATTCGCATATCGGATCAATTGTCAACTCCCGACCTGGGAAGCCTTCGCCTGACATGCAGGTCCATAGAGCAGTCCATGTTCAATATGTTCATGAAGGAGTTCTTTACTCAACGCCAATTCATGCTCACCGAATTCAGCCTACAGACCCTCATCGACATCAGCAAGTCACGGCTGAGTGATTGTCTCGACTATGTCATCATCGGCCTCAATACATTCACACGCCATTACTTTTCCCCAGGAGAAGAAGCACAGGAAACCCGCTATCGCGAAGCCCAATCCGATCACCACACCCTGGTCAACAGCGGTCAAGACGTCGCTATGCTGACGGAGGCTTTCAAAAACCTCAAGAACCTCAAAACTGTGGGCATTCGTGACTACCATTCCGCGGGAAGGGGCTTTCGAGATGGCTTCGAGGTCAGCTGGGCGAGTTACGGCGCCACCACACTCCGCCAGGATACCGGAGTAGATCTTCTGCGCATACCTATCGAAGAGATGGTCGCCTACACCAACAAAGTCTTCATCACCCTTTTTACCGCACTTGGTCATGCTGGTGCCCGGCCCAGTGCCTTCGAACTGCTCCGCCACCAGCAAGGCGTGCCCTCTGACGACGCTTACAACCTCTTCACCAAATACCTCAAGCCCAAGGTCGTCCCGGTCCTCGAGGGCATCGAGACCTTTATGAGCGTTGTGAACGTAGCGACCGGCCCCTTCCGAGTCACGTCACTCACAGGCAGCGCGGGAACTCAACTACGACGTCGATACGATTATTCCCTGCGTCTCTTTTTGGGTCACATGCCGAACCTCAAGCATCTACGGTTGAACTTTGCGCACCCAGGCCATAACTCTGATGCTGTTGATGAATTCATTGACTGGCTGGGTACACCTGTCCCCAGTGCTCATTCTGAACCGGACGACAACCAGCTACCGATACCTCCAGCTCCGGTAGCGTTTCCCCTTCTGGAAGAGATCAACTTGGGCTTCGTTGAAGTTGAGCCGAAGCGGCTTCTCCAAGTCGTGCGAAAGCTTGCACCAACACTGAGGAATCTCGAGCTGTGGAAGGTCACGCTCCGCAGCCGTACAGGAGCTGTCCAAGGGGACTATAACGCGAGAGGCGACATTTCCATTATCAACATGTGGGCTCGATTTCTCCAGAGTCTGCGCGACGTCCCCAACCTCGATCTGAAACACATCATGGTCGGTTGTCCTGCTCAGCGCATGTCTATGACGAGCGCCAGGGTATGGGTTCAAGCCACAGACGGGGTGCCGGACAAGACTGTGAGCAGACGCGAGTACACAGGCATCGACTGGAGGCATTTTGTGGGAGACTTGGCTAAGCAAATCATGGTTGATATCCCGCCCGAGCGGAAGCGCAACCCGGAGTCGGACGAAGAAGATGACGAAGATTCGAACGATGGTATGGACGATGACATTGACGATGACATGGACAACGACATTTTGGAAGATGACATAATGGACGCGATTCAAGGTCAGTAGTTACGTGCTGCAACTCTCTTAAGCTTTTGCGAGGCGCCATTCTCAGAGTACTACGGTCTATTCAACGTGGAATAGGATGGCGGAGCTGGCGAGGGGTGAATACTACATAATGGCTGACGACTTGATACTCGACCCAGAACAAATGGAGTCAGGAGGCTACTTTCCGGATGAAATTGAGGAAGCGCTGGATGGCCTCGAAGACACGATAGCCTACGAGCAAGGCTTTTACCCGATTGTGTTTCAGTAGACGATGGTATAGGAAACAATTAGGCCTGGGTCGTAAATATGCTCGACTTACCACTTTTTTGGGGGGGCAATTGGAGAATCTTGGTGGCTGAATGGGGAGTCTAGCCATCGAGTCGAAGATTTGAGGTTTCCCGTCTGGTGATGCTGGCCATGTATTTGCTTCTGGAGGTGTATTACAGTCGGTGTAGAGTCTGGAATTGGGATGAAAGGACCCACCATGTAGATATCTAGGCAGCTGGCCCGCTTAAGGAAGTCAATCAGGGTTGGCATACGGATGGGCATGAAGCGATTCGGATACTTCAGATGGCAAACTTGAGGTACACTGCAATTTGAAGTCAATACCTTGCTCCAGGCAGGAGCTCCTCTAAAACTGAAAAGCGTCTCCAGGGGAGAAACATCGTCAAGTATCTAGGTACCTTGATTGGCACCTAGAAGTGGTTGACAGTGAAGTACTCCGTTACTTATGGTGGTACGGCGGTACCTTGATGTTGAGACGGCACGTGAACTCGCGAGGACCTCGAGCAGTCGCGGTGGCTCGTGCGCCAGGCACCAGCGGCGTTGGTGCCTGCAGGACCATGTTGGTTCGTCCAGAAGGAGCTGAAAGCGTGCGGCACCTTCCACCCAGGTCCCAAGGTACTAGGTGAGGTAACTCCAATTGGCAATGAGCTGACTTGTTTTTCTGATCCAAAGTCAAAGGAGGCACAGCGAAATAAATCATCTCGACTCCCTTTCATCTTTTCGTCTTTCATCTTCACTTTCTTTTCCATCTTAGAATCTCACACAACCACCATCGATTGGACTCGGTCACTCAACACGGGGACCCCTGCCATACTCTCCAAGCTCT